CTTCTCGGCGACATTGCCAAAGCGACGGGATTCAAGAACCGTCGCCAGAGGCCACCGCGGGAGGTGATTGGTGCAGAAGGGCCAAGTGCGGTGAGATTCGGCGACGCCAAACCAAGACTGCAGTAACCCTGGCCACGCAAAACTCGGGGTAGGGTTCCCAGTGCACTTGCCGTTGTGGCGACCGACCCTATCACGGCGTGAAGTGCGAGCTTCAATTTCATTTTCCAATTGGATCCAACCCGCTCCCATGGTAGCGACAATCCCCAAGCTCGTGCTTCTCCTCGGTGTCTCTGCGACGGCCGTCGTCGGCGACTGCGGCACGGCACGCGCGCCCACGGCCCGCTTCCAAGTGCTCTCGTACAACGACGTGTACGAGATGCAGAACGAGACCGACGCCTCGCAGTATGGCGTCCTCGTCGGCGGCCCCTCGCGCGTCATCCCCATCGCAAAGAAGCTCCGCAAGAACTTTGAAAACAGTTTGGTCATCTTTGCGGGCGACACCATGTCGCCGTCGCTCTGGTCCGGCCAGTTCAAGGGTATCCAGATGATCGAGGCCCACAACGCGCTCAGTGTCGACTTTGCGTGCCTCGGCAACCACGAGTTTGACTTTGGCATCGACGCGTTCCTCAACGTCTCGGCCGCCTCCAAGTTTCCTTGGCTCAACGTCAACGCGTACGAGAAGTCGACCGGCCAACTCCTCCGCGGCACCAAACCGTATGAAGTCAAGGTGCTCAACTCGCCGACGATGGGGACGATCAAGATCGGCGCCTTTGGTGTCATGTACGATATGCAGGACGCGACCACGGGCATGTACTGGATGGACCCGGTGAACGCGTCGATCCCGGTCGTCAAGACGCTCCGTGAGGTCGAGAAGGTCGACATGGTGATTGCGCTCACGCACCAGTTCCTCGACGACGACAACCGCTTCTCGCAGCTGGTCAAGGGCGTCGACATGATTTACGGCGGCCACGACCACTCGGCGATGCTCCAGACCAACTTTGGCACGCCGTACCTCAAGTCGGACCTCAACTTCCGCAGCATTTGGGTCTCCGACATCAAGTACTATGCGCCGTTCCAGTCGGATCCAAAGACGTTGAACAAAGCGTTCACCAAAATGAGCCACAAGAACCTCGCGATCACGAACGAGATGCCGTCCGACCCGGCGTTTGACGAGATCATCAAGTCGTACGACGCCAAGATCAACGTGCTCTTCAAGCGCAATGTCGGCTCGCTCTGCGCCGAAACCGACTTGACCGCCAAGCTTCTGCGCCAATCCGAAGCGCCGATCGGCAACTTCTTTGCCGATGCATTCAAGGACTACTACAAAAAGGTGGCGGTCGATGTCGGCTACATGAACGCCGGCGGTATCCGCACAGACAAGAAGTGGTCGGCCGGTCTATTCTCGCTCGGGGACCTCATCTCGTGGTCGCCGTTTGGCAATATGATTGCGGTCATCGCGACCGACGGCGCTAGCTTCAAGAAGTTTCTGGGCACCCAGCTCGCGCAGACGTGCGACAAGGGCAACAACCTCATGCTCAACGGCTTTTACCCGCAGATCGCCGGCGTCAAGGTCTCGTACAAGTGCAGCGGCGAAAAGGCGGGCGCGATCACAAGCCTCCAGTGGGACGGCGAAGTCAACGGCAAGTCGGGCGACATCAAGGATTCGGACGCGTTCAACGTTGCCCTCTCGACGTACATGAAGGACCTCTTTGACCAGTTTGTCGGCAAGCCGGCCAAGTACCTCGTCGATGCCGCCGAAGCGACGCGCATCGACCTCGTCCTCGAGACGTACACGAAAAAGCAAGACGGCAGC